AAAATAAAATGTTACCTAACATATAAACATTGCATTTTTTTTTTCAGTTGAAATTAACTAGCTCACATCAAAATTAATATTAGCCTCACAGGGAACACTCAAATAACACTCCACACCTAACCATTTACAAGATGTAGTAAGATACTTTGCAGATCTTAAATAAACAATGTCAAGATATATAGTCCATTATAAATGTATAAATAGATTTTATATGGTGTTCATTGTGTGTTATAAATAATCATAATCTTAAAACTTATAACCACAAATGCGTAAGCATTATAATGTATTATAATTGTTGTTATGATTATTTATAAGATGATATAACATATTATAAGGTCTTTTATAATGCATTATGCATTCATTATAATGCCTTAAGAATACCCTTATAATGTGTTATAAATATGGGCTTCATAGAAAGTGTTACCAAAGTGTTAAATTGAATGAAAAATTTGTATTATGCATAATGCATTGCATGATTGTCAACCTCCAAAATGTATTTTCCGCTACTGACAGGAAGCTTTCTGTGCGCGCACTCCCAACGGAACACTGACAACAAGCATAGCAACCTTTTGTCTTCTGTCGCGCGCCTAAACGGTCATTGTATTTGCATCAGTATGTGATTCTACCTTTAGTCTTTTATTTAATCTGTGTTGGTATGTTTTAATTGATTTTTCAGTTTGTACAAAGATGTCTGCTGTTAGTAACATTAATGCCATAAATCAGAACAGTACAATGAGAAATATTCAGATGTAAAAAAAGAAAAAACTGAAAAAGATAAACAGCAAACTTTATACAATAGCATACCTTCTTACAATATTATGAGTTCTAATAGCTTTTTTACATGTTATTATCATTTATAAAATAAGAGAAGTTTTGTTTGGAGCCTGATAATATGAAACTTTCCCATTAAAATTAACAATTGTATGAAATATGCTTTATCTGTCTCAAATCCACAATCATTGAAGGTCTCAATAATCAAGCCGTTTTGATTTTCTGAGCAATATGACGTGATATTGTACAAGCCCCACCCACCACCAATTTCCCGCTCACTGCTTTCTAATACAAGGCAGGTTTTGCTAAAAAAAGTCAAGGATGGATCATTACCCACTGTTCGTGAAGCAGCTGTACCTCCAGAAGAAGTAAGTCTCACACTTATTACTATACACTATATTTTTTATGATTATTTGCAAATCGCACACTTTTTATGATCTGACAGACAGAGTACACGCTCGCAAATTGATTCATTATAACAGGGGTGTCAAACTCAATTCCTGGAGGGCCGGAGCCTTGCATAGTTTAGATTCAACCCTAATTAAACACACCTGATCCAACTAATCAAGCCCTTCAGGCTTATTTGTAAACTACATGGTATTTGTGTTGGAGTAAAACTCTGCAGGGCTCCGGCCCTCCAGGATCAGTTTGTAGTCCTAAAACCTGGAAGATAATCAACATTTTCAAGCCATCTATTCCCTTTGGAATTCTTAATGGGTTTTTGGAATAGCGGATTTGGATTTATGAGTAAAATAAGTTCTGTGGTTAAATTAACTTGAAGAGAATTTCACATTTTGTTCTACACCATATATTACCTCATATTCGCCTGAATGCAAGATGCTTACAACAAATACAGCTACCATAACAAACTACAGCTACCGTAAGGATGTGAGTGTAAGTTCTTATGAATTGGGCAATTGTTGTAGTCCTCATGTACACACTTGTTAGCATCTGGTTTTTAAAATGATTAAGACTGAATCACAGCCGTGATGATATTGAGAACAGCATGATTACAAGATAATAATAATATAATCTACATTTTAGACAAAATATAGGCAGTTAGGCTGTCTATTTTCTCTCTGCTAAGTAAATACTTCCAAACAAAATTAAAGCAAAATCAACCGAGCAACAGTGGTGTTTCAAATAAACCAATCACTTGAGTGAATGATTCAACAATGACTCATTAAGACTTGTGTCTTTCCTGAATGAATCTGTGCTTTTGAGCAAATCTTTTGAGTGAATGATTCATGATTCACTCAGTTGTTGGCGCCACATGCCATATCGATGTAATCTGCAGAAAGGGCCACTTAAAATGCCCACCGCTTGTCTGGAATGGGCAATCGCTGACAAGACCAGTGATTTTTTTTCAACAAGCGAAAAACATGCATAATTGGGTATAATAAGATAGATAGACTTTGAGGTATTTTGTAACAAACGCTCAGGTGCTTATCATGAATACGAAATGTAACATGGTTATTAGTGCCTTTGGCAAAAAGCAGGTCACCTGAATGTAAAGGTTGTTTCAAAGACACAAAAGATCAAGTGTGTGTATCATAAACTGGATTTTAGAAGAAAAATTAGAACATCATACCAACAGTAAAATATGGTGGTGGTAGTGTGATGGTCTGGGGCTGTTTTGTTGCTTCAGGACCTGGGAGACTTGCTGTGATAAATGGAACCATGAATTCTGCTGTTTACCAGTGACCTCAAGCTGAAGCGAACTTGGGTTCTGCAGCGATCCAAAACACACCAGCAAGTCCACCTCTGAATGGCTGAAGAAAAACAAAATGAAGACTTGAGTGGCTTAGTCAAAGTCCTGACCTGAATCCTATTGAGATGCTGTGGCATGACCTTAAAAAGGCGGTTCATGCTCGAAAACCCTCCAATGTGGCTGAATTACAACAATTCTTCATAGATGAGTGGACCAAAATTCCTCCACAGCGCTGTAACAGACTCAGTGCAAGCTATCGCAAACGCTTGATTGCAGTTGTTGCTGCTAAGGGTGGCCCAACCAGTTATTAGGTTTAGGGGGCAAACACTTTTTCACACAGGGCCATGTAGTTTTGGATTTTGTTTTCCCTTAATAATAAAAACCTTCATTTAAAAACTGCATGTTGTGTTTACTTGTGTTATCTTTTACTAATATTTAAATTTGTTTGATGATCTGAAACATTAAATTGTGACAAACATGCAAAAAAATAAGAAATCAGGAAGGGGGCCAACACTTTTTCACACCACTGTATATTTATGATCTCGCTTTCCACCCTAATATCATTTTATATAACTGGCATATCAGCCGACATCCACTGGATGGCAGTCTTTCATAAACAGAGACTTTGTTTTGAGCAGGCCTGCTGCCAACACACTGCACATACAAAGCATCTCTTTCCACTTGACAAGACAGATCAAGACAGATGCTTGTTGAAAAGGTCTGTGTGAGTAATGTGCTCATTTTAGGACAGACTATCATATTAGTTGCATCAATCACTTTTAAATGCAGCACCTGCTGTAAATGCCTTTAAAGTCAAAATTTCACATCAGCTCCCATTATAGTGATTCACCTCAAGGGAAGTGATATTGTACCTCTTCTGTCACAAAGAAAGAATGCTTGTTGTATGTAGTTTATCATTACATACACATTTAGATGGGTATAACAATCAATGTCATTCGTTATTCCGAATTGAATTGATACCGTCTTTTAATATTTGAATTTGAATTGATGTAGTAAACAGGATGCAGAATTCTAATTCAAATTTTAATTGAGTTAATAAAAAATATAGTAGTTTTATAAGAGGTCCCTTGTTTTTATAAAGTCAAAAGATATTTTGTGGTGCTGTATGGCAAAAAATATATATATATTTTGATTGCTTTTAAAATAGTTTTATGGTATTGAGCTTTTCACATTTTTAGGGAAATATACTGTATCAGTCAAGAAAAAAATATTTCCTTTTGTTTGTACTGTATATTTGAAAGTCAGTTTCTGTACAGATACATACCTTAAAGTCATAGCTATAAAAAAGGTATTGTTAGAAGCTGTTATTGCCCAGAACAAAAAAAGACAATTAGGTTTTCACATTTTGTGACAACATACTCCAATAGCATGTTAGTGGTGTCATTAAATATATAGAAATTATAATATAATTATATTAATGTATATTTATTTATATATTTTTTTACATAATGTATTTATATATTATGTTTTTATGATTGTTGTTGAACTTCTTGTCAGAGCCTTGCAAAAGGGCACAGTTATGATTGCTCAAATTTGCAACTTCTTATTTACCAATGCAAATCTTTAACCTTTACGTCATGCCATACAATCTTTTCTGTTTTGACTCTACAGACCACTCCTGCCTAAAACAGAACAACAGCAGCTGATGTGTGACCAGCATGAGGAGGAGAAGATCAACATCTACTGCCTCACCTGTGAGACACCAACATGCTCTATGTGCAAAGTGTTCGGGGCTCACAAGGACTGTGATGTGGCCCCACTGCCAGACATCTACAAGAGACAGAAGGTAGAGGATTTGTATTTGACTTCTTCAACCTGACAGTCGTTTTTTAATTTTGTTTTACTTTGTTTGTTTGGTGTAAATGACCCCAGAAAAATCACAGGTTGCTCTGAGACTATGGTGCGACGCTGTGAACTAGACAGATGTGTGTATAGCACGCTGCCCAGCCGGTTTCACACATTGCAAGGGGCTTGATCTCACCTAACTTCTCTAGCATCAACACCCACCCACATGGGAACACACATACACAGACCATCAGTGGCCATGGCTCCTGCCTCAACCAACAGACCGTCTTTTTCAGATTTCTTTCTGCCTCTATTTGTCTAACAAAACAAGAGTTTTACATTTCAGAAGCGATTAGTCATGTACATTTTTCAAAGTCAAGTTTAAAGGAATAGTTCATCCAAAAATGAAAATTTACTCAACCTCAGGCCATCCAGTATGTAGATGAGTTTGTTTCTTCATCGGCACAGATTTGGAGCAAATTAGCATTGTTACTTGCTCACCAATGGATCCTCTGCAGTGAATGGGTGCCGTCAGAATGAGAGTCCAGATAGCAGACAAAAAAATCACAATAATGTGCAAGTAATCCACATGACTCCAGTCCATCAAGGAACTTGTGAAGCTGCGTGTTTGTAAGAAACAAATCCATCATTAAGATATTTCTCTCCATAATGTTGCTTTCTATAGTGAAAAACTAATCTCATCTGTATCAGGAGAGAAATATACAAGTGTGAAAACAGTCTAAAAAACAGTTCTGAACAAGTATATCAGTGTATTTAATGTGAGAGGACAGTAGGGGATTCACTTTTTCAGTGGAGGAAGTGTTATTATGGATTATGGACACTTTAAAAGTTGAAACGCCTTGGTTGATTTTGTTTCATACAAACATGCAACTTTTTGTTTTATAAAACTGATGGACTGGAGTGGTGTGGATTACTTGTGGATTATTGTGATGTTTTTATCAGCTATTTGAACTCTCATTCTAACGGCACCCATTCACTGCAGAGGACTAGAGAAACAAAATCATTTACATCTTGGATAGCCTACGGTTGAGTAAATGTTTAGCAAATTTTCATTTTGGGTGAACTATTCCTTTAAAAGAGCCCTCCCCCTTTCTATGAAATCCAATCCAATCACTTTTTAAACTACAGTATTAATAACACGATGACAAACCACACAATTTAAGGTGTCATTCATGCCAGTAGCACAAATGATCCAGGGCGAAATCACGCACTGAAGTTTACAACAGGTTAGAAGTTTTGTTCACATCACTAACCCTAAGTATAAGCAATTGCAATGAGAATAATTACACGTTACAGAACAGACAATACGCTTAAAATAGGTCCAAGATACTTATGTTTAAGAAAAGATTGTTTTAAACGAAACAAACAGGACAAATGTGTTTTATGACGCACAAAAAAAAACATGCAGCATCACAGCAATTTTCTCACTTTCCGATGCATTCTTGACCTACATGGTATTGAGGTCTTGACCTACTGCACCTCTTGTGGTATGGCTAGTAATGAAGGTCTTCGTACCAGGGTGCAACTGGCCCTGAGAAATGAGTCACTCCTCCCTGTTGTGTTTGAGTCATAGCAGCTTCTTCTGGTCTTTACGTTTTTTTTGTCTCTCATTTTTGTCCTCTGTAAGTGCCTGTTCTCAGCTCTCTCGCTCCCTTCACCAGCTACCAGATGAACAATGACTAAACCTAGCAGCCTTTCCCAATAGAAAATCATGTGCATGGTGGACACCATATGTTGATCTGTTATTTGCAGTGTTCCTATGCTGTAGGTCAGTTCTCATTGTAGGAAATAGGTTCTTCTTATTGTACATCTACTCCTGTGGCTCTTGGTTTTGAGGTACTGTAACTGAATGATGTAACGCACCAGGGTCGTAGGGTGGTTGATGCCCAAACAGGCTCCAAAAGAGCCATAATTTCTGCCAGGTGGCTATGATGACATTTTCTCTTTTAGTCATGGCCCACTATAAACAGTGAATCACTCATTTCAAATGCAAATCCGCAAAGTTTGATCAGTCATGACTGGTAACATTCTTACAATCTCGGCCTTTAGTTCACATGCTGTTCTCTTATTTGTAAGTGTGGTTCTCACAAGTTGCATAGCCAAATCTGACATGGCTTTCTTGTGAAAGATGACACGTTGATCGCATTGGTCATGTGTTTTCTTTCTTTTATTTTTGATGAGGTCCTGTCACAATTGGATATATTCTGCTCTGTTTTGTCTCAGACAGAGCTAAGTGATGCCATAGCCATCTTAGTGGCCGGAAATGACGGAACACAGGCCCTGATCTCACAGATGGAGGATATTTGTAGGACTGTCAAGGTGAGAAAGAAATGGTACAGTAAACCACAACAATTATGATATTGTGTGAAAGGATTGAGTGATATGTTGAATATTCATAATATATTCATTATGATTGAATTATTGCATTTAACATTTGGAATCTTTTTGGCTGCTGTGGTTGTGAAGTTAAAATGATGGATCCTCTGATTCACCATTTTTACCCATTTCAGACCAAATACATAGACTAAATAAAAATATATCAAAATTTAGATCAAATATAGTCCAGAGTCGAGTCAAGTCAAGCATTATTTCTAGAGCACGTTTTACACAACTGTAGTTGATCCAAAGTGCTTTATAGTATAAAATAGAATCAGAAAAAGAGAAAGAAGTATACAAGTATCAAATCAATCAAAGTAAATATTCATACAATATATCCATCTAAAACACAACTAGATAAGTTTGGGTTCCTTTTGGTCTACTTCACTTTGTCAGACAGGTCCTAATTAAGAGATTTCTTGATTGCGAACAGGTGTGGCAGTAATCAGGCCTGGGTGTGGCTAGAGAAACTGAACTCAGGTGTGATAAACCACAGTTTTAACAGGGGGGCAAACATTTCTTCATACAGGGCCATGTAGTTTGGGATTTTGTTTTCCCTTAATAATAAAAACCTTCATTTAAAAACTGCATGTTGTGTTTACTTGTGTTATCTTTTACTAATATTTAAATTTGTTTGATGATCTGAAACATTAAAGTGTGACAAACATGCAAAAAAATAAGAAATCAGGAAGGGGGCCAACACTTTTTCACACCACTGTATATATATTTTTATAAAGAAAGCAAGGATGCATTAAACTGATCGAAAGTGATAGTAAAGACATCTATAATGTTTCAAAAGACTTATATTTGAAATAAATGCTACTCTTTTGTACTAGTTCATTCTTTGTATTTTTTGGGATTTGAAAAAATATATATATCTGTGTGTGTACAATATATATATGTTGCCCAGCCTTAGCGAGTGATGATAAACATTTTTTAAATATATTTTAAATAGTAAAAATATATATTTAAATATATTTTAGAAGCTATTTGTGGTTTAAATATTGCTCTTAATTCAAACTAAAACACAGTCACTGGTTATCCTTTGTAGGAAAATGGTCACCGGCAGATGCAGTACATCTCTGATAAGTTTGATGAAATTTACGCCATCCTAGAAGAGCGTAAAAGGGAATTAATAGAGACTGTCGGTCGTGAGCAGGATCAAAAACTGGGCCATGTCCGCTCCCTTATCCGTCGCCACGGAGACCACTTGGAGATATCCATCAAATTGGTGGAGACAGCCATCCAGTCTATGGAAGAACCTCAGATAGCTGTGTTCCTGCAGGTACAACAAGTGCCTTCGTCACAAATGATTTTTCTGATTGGTGCCATGATGCTAGGGTGGTTATTACACTCTTAAAAATAAAGGTTCCAAAAAAGCGATGCCATTGAATAACCATTTTTTGAAATGCCATTCAATGAAAAGGTCTAAAAAACATTTTTAAACAACATTTTAATAATCTAAAGAACCTTTTCTACCATAAAGAACATTTTGTGCAATGAAAAAGGTTCTGTGAATTGATGAATTCATGGAACCATCAATACCAATAAAGAACCTTTATTTTTTAGAGTGTATGAAGTCTCTATAATATTCTATAATCTCCAAATATGTTTGACTGTTTTATAAAAAGCCAAGCAAAACCCCAGTTCAATCATTTGAAAAGTAGCACACCTTTCCTTAACAAGCCGCATGATTTGATTATCATTCATATCTGAATAGTACACCAAAGTTAAATACTTAAATTTCTCTAGATTTTTAGCCTCGAAGTAGTTTGCAACACTATAAACGTGTCTTAAATGGTTACTTTCTACACCTAACTCATGCACACCTCTGGAGCCAGTGATCAATAGTGGTACAGGTGCTTGTGAACATCTGACATGGTCTTATTGAGCTGTGTGGAGCTAATGCTGCAACACCTCACCGGGGATGCTGGCGGCAGTGCTTGTTGCTTTTAGAGCCCCCCAGAGATGCTTGATGCAAATAATCCAGCCTTTGCATATGCTGTTTGCTGATTGACACTGTGCCTGTTGCTACATTTCAAGCATCCTTTAATGACAAGGCTGACATTGATTAGCAGAACCTCACACAGCTGGAGACCCCTGTCCTTTGACTAGTGGCTCAAACGGTCAATACTTCACCATGGCTGAGAGCTGCAGTCCGCGGAAAGAGACTTTAAACGAAGGCGATGGAGAGGTTGTTTTTTGAAACGGCTTTCACTATAAAGTGGCAGCCTCAGGTGCAGCACTGCTCCTTTTTAACTAGCTCTTCTCAGTGGAAACAGAGTGTCAAAATAGGCTGCATAACAAGTGCCAGTGATTTAGTATGTGCCCTTTTTTGTGTATGCAGTGAAACTGTGACGATGAGGACTGCGGGTTTTATTTTTTAATCTGCTACTGTATCCTCTAGTCTTAAAATGAGTGTTCTTCTTTGCTGTGTTCACAGAACGCAAAGGAAGTGTTCAAGAAGTAAGTCAGCTATGAGTGATGTGTTTAGGAGTGTCTTAAAGGGATAGTTCACCCAAAAATCATTTTCTCACCTTCATGTCATTCCAAACATGTGACTTTCTTAAATAGAGAATTTTAAGAGAATTTTTATTTTTATGTGAACTGTCCCTTTAAACTAAACCATGCTAAGCATGTGTGCTTCATCAATAACTGATACCTTCTAAAGGCTAACAATCATGATTAACAACCTCACAGGCAATGACTCAACCAGCCTCCCACCCCTAACAACCCACTGTATTATGCATTGGTTCATAGCTTTCATCTGGCTCAATATTGTGGGAAATATTCTGTACTGTACATATTGAAATCCCTTATACTACAATTTATTTATTTTCTGCTGATGTCTGCATTTAATTGATCTCCAAATGCTTAATGTGTAGACTCATTGAACTTGTTTTGTGAATAATTTAATCATTTTATTGAATTGAATAATTTTAGCCTTAGGTATGCTGTGTATTTTGGCTTTTACAAATGTTATGCTTAGAACTTCCACTGCCATTCAAAAGTTTGGGGTCAGTAAGACACTTCGAAACACGTCTCTAACGCTCAACTTGCAGTTTTTTGTTTGTTTGTTTTTTTTTCAAAAATACAATAAAAATAGTAATATTGTGAAATATTATTACAATTTAAAAGGATTATTTTTGTACTTGTATTAATTTCTTTCAAAATAAATAAATAAATAAATTATATATATATATATATATATATATATATATGTGTGTG